CCAGGACCTTCTGGCATTAATGCCTCTTCAACCAGTGAGCCCAGATGCATACTACTTCAGATTCTGCAAGCCAGGAATGACCCTTATGCTGTATTGCTTGAGGTCCTACATTCTGAACAACGCCCAGGGAAGGAGAAAGCTCACTCTCCACTGTAGACAGGGATTGGGAGCTGCTGCTGGATGGAGTGGTGGAGAAGAGGGCAGTCCTTTCTCTAGTTCACTGCCACAGGATGCCATGCAGGCAGCTAGATCCAGCCTGGAGCAAATTGCAACCTGGGTCCTAGATGAAAATGGATGCCCAGGAATGGAGGAAGGAGATCTTCTGCACTGTGCAAGAGTAAGTTCCATCATCTTCGCTCTGTTACCTCACACTCACGGAGCCACGACTCACTCTTATGCTGTCACTGCACATTTCACCAAGGCTCATGGCCTACCACTCTCAGTTTTGCTTGCTTCATGTCTGCTCAATGGCTCTCAACTGGCTTATCCTTGCAAACTGATAACTCTACCTGCCCTCTGCGCTACTTACTCACTCATTGGGTATATCTTGCCACTATTCCTGCTTGTGCATTACCACTAACTGCACCTCACAGAATTAGAGAATCACAGAATTGTTACTGCAGAAGAAGGCCATCCAGCCCATCATGCTTGCATCATTTTTATTACCCAGTGCCAATCTCCTGCCTTTTCCCCATATACCTGCATACCATTTCTATCCAAACAATCATTCTCTGAATGCCTGAATTGAACCAGCCTCCGTCACATTTCCAAGCAATGCAATCCATACCCTAACTACTTGCTGTGTGAAAAAGCTTTCCCTCACATCATTCTTGCATTATTTGCACTTCATTCTCAATCTGTGCCCTTTTCAGTTTCTTTTTTCTTTTATGAGAAGGAATGGCTTCGCCCTATCCACTCTATCCAGTCTGCTCATGATTTTGAAAACCTCCACTAAATCTCTTCGCAGCCATCTTCTCTCCAAGGAAAGCAGGCCCAACTTCTGCAATCTATCCTCATCACTGAAATTTCTCATTCCTGAAAACATTCTTGTAAATCACTTCTGCATTTTCTCCAATGCATTCACATCTTTCCTTTACAACTATACACAATACTCCAGCTGAGGTCTCAAAAGTGTCTTGTACAAATTCAACATCACCTCCTTGCTCTTGTACTCAATGTCCCTATTAATTAAACCAAGAATTTTGTATGCTTTATTAACTGCTCTCCACCTTTCCTGCCACCTTCAACGGTCTGTGCACATATACACCCAGGACCCTCTGCTCCTACACACCCTTTAGAATTGTTTTCAGTGTTTTATATTTTCTTTCAATGTTCTTCAGACCAAAGTGTTTCATCTCACAACTCTCTGCATTAAAAACTCATCTGGCAATTATTTGCCCACTCCACCATCTTGTCAATGTCCTTTTAGAGTTCCCTACTGTCCTCACAGTTTAAAATTCTTCAAAGTTTAGTGTCATCTCCAACTTTGAAATTGTCCCCTGCACACCAAGATTTACATCATTGATATATCAGGAAAAGCAAGAGTTCCAATACTGACCTCTGGGGAACTCCATTACAAACCTTCCTCAGCCCAAAAAATATCCAACCTTGACTGAAAATTTTTCTCACAAGTTTGTTGTGTAGCATTGTACCAAACATTTGCTGGAAATCCATGTATTCTATATCAACAATGCTACCTTCTTCCATCTATTTCCATTATACTCAATCCCTATCTTTGTTCCATTACAGGAAAAAACTGGCCAACCACCTTTGGAATATAGCAAGAACTGCAGATGCTGGAGTCAGAGACAACACAGTGTGGAGCTAGAGGAACATAGCAGGCCAGGCAGCAGAGGAGCAGAAAAGTTGACGTTTTGGGTCGGGACCCTTCTTCAGAAATGGGCCACCTCCCTGTGCCTATTTCTTTGACCAGGAATCTAACCCACCATCTGCAGTCCCCTTCACCCGCCTCCAACAAACCTCATCCTCCTGGACACCATCCCACGGTCTCCTATCCTCCCTCAACCTCTTCATTTCCAACTGCCATCGTGACATCGATCGCCTCAGTCTCTACACCCTCACTCACTCCAACCTCTCCTTCACAGATCGCACAGCCCTCCGCTCCCTCCATTCCAATCCTAACCTCACCATCAAACCCAGTGATAAGGGGGGGGTGCAGTAGTTGTACGGCGCACTGACCTTTACATAGCTGAGGCCAGGCGCCAACTCTCTGACACCTCCTCTAACCGCCCCCTTGATCATGACCCCATACCTGACCACCAAACCATTGTTTCTCAGACCATTCATAACCTTATCACCTGAAGTGACCTCCCACCCACAGCCTCCAACCTCATCGTTCCCCAACTCCGCATTGCCCGTTTCTATCTCCTTCCCAAAATCCACAATCCTGACTGACCCAGCCAACCCATTGTCTCTGCCTGCTCCTGCCCCACTGAACTCATCTCTGCTTACCTTGACTCTGTCTTATCTCCCCTGGTGCAGGAACTACCCACCTACGTCCAGGACACCACCCATGCCCTCCAACTCCTCCAAGACTTCCAATTCCCTGGCCCCCAACACCTCATCTTCGCTATGGGCATCCAATCCCTGTACACTTGTATCCCCCATGCAGATGGCCTAAAAGCCCTCCACTTCTTCCTCTCCCACAGGCCCAACCTATCCCCCTCCAATGACACCCTCATCTGCTTAACAGAACTAGTCCTTACCCTGAATAGCTTTTCCTTTAACTCCTCCCACTTCCTACAGACTAAGGGGGTGGCCATGGGCAGCTGCATGGGTCCAAGCAATGCCTGTCTCTTTGTAGGATATGTGGAACAGTCCCTTTTCCATCTCTTCCTCCACTATATTGATGACTGAATTGGTGCTATCTCGTGCTCCCATGAGGAGCTTGAACAGTTCATCAATTTTACTAACACCTTGCACCTCAACCTCAATTTACCTGGACCGTATCTGATACCTCCCTCTCCTTTATGGACCTCTCCGTCTCCATCTCTGGTAACCACCTCAATACCGACATCTATTTCAAGCCCACCGACTCCCATAGCTACCTGCACTACACTTCATCTCACCCACCCTCCTGCAAGAATGCAATCCTTTACTCCCAATTCCTCCGCCTCCACCACATCTGTTCCCAAGATGGAGCATTCCATTCCCGGACATCCCAGATGTCCTCCTATTTCAAGGACCAGAACCTCCCCCCTCCAGTGATCAAAAATGCCCTCAACCACATCTTTTGCATTTCCCACTCTTCTGTCCTCAAACGCCCTTCCCCAACAAAAATAAAGGTAGAATCCCCCTGATCCTCACATACCACCCCACCAACCTTCACATCAAGCGTATCATTCTTCGCCACTTCCGCCACCTACAATCCAACCCCATGACCAAAGAGGTATTTTCCTCCCCACCCCACCTGCCTTTTGTAGGGACTGCTCACTCCGCGACTCCCTTGTCCGCTCCACACTCCTCAATAACCCCACCACACCCGGCACCCTTCCCTGCAACCGCAGGAAGTGCTACACCTGCCCCTACACCTCCCCCCCCATCTCCATTCAAGGCCCAAAGCAAGCCTTTCATATCCAGCAGGGGTTCACTTATACATCCTCCAGCTTGGTCTACTGTATCCGTTGCTCCTGATGTGGCCTCCTGTACATCGGTGAGACCAAGCGTAGACTAGGGGACCATTTCGTAGAGCATCTGCACTCTGCATGCAACAAATGGTAACACCTTCCAGTCGCCAACCATGTTAATTCCCCCTCCCACTCCCTGGGTGACATATCCATCCTGGGCCTCCTCTAGTGCCACAATGACACCAAATGCAAACTGGAGGAGCAACATGTCATATCCTGACTTGGGAGCCTACAGCCTGATGGTCTAAACATAGAATTCACCAGTTTTAAAATTTGCCCAACCCCGGCTTCATCCCTTGTCCAACCCACCCTCTCAGCCCTGCCTCCTTGACGAGACACAACCTGCCCATCTTCTCTCCCACCTATCCGCCCCTTCCACTTCACTGACCAATCCCCACCACTCCCTACCAGCACTCACCTATCACCATCCCACCTACCTTCTCCAGCCCCACTCCTCTCTCTATTTATTTCTGATCTCCCTTACCCCTCCCCATTTCTGAAGAAGGGTCCCAACCCGAAACATCAACTTTCCTGCTCCTCTGATGTTGCCTGGCCTGCTGTGTTCCTCCAGCTCCACGCTGTTACCACCAGGTAGATGTTCTGACTTACATGTCAGGAATTTGGGTCATTGAGTTTCTCAGGAAGGAAAGGCGAATTAGAAGTGAGCACATAAATAAGGTGAACTGGTGCTTTAATGAGGTACAAATACATGGTAGTAAGTTGTCATCACTCAAGGCGACATTCTGAAGTCACCATTTAATGTTTCAGGGGAAATTCGGACAAAGTTTTCTTGACATTGAGATTCTGGTTTTTCGATTTGCTTTGTATTTTCCCACCTTTCTCACCATTATGCAAGCTGTATAAGGGAGGAGAGCATTCTATCAATGATAAACGTAACATGATGGTTTGGCCATTGACTGCAATCGTGAACAATAATTGAATAATCGCTGAATGATTAATGATTGTGATAGATTAACTATAGCTGATATTTATAGTGTTGCCATCAAATAAGTGTCAGTACTTACCACAAGTGTGTACAGTATTTTCTAATCTATTTATTAGTCGAATCAAATGTAAATGAGCATCAGGAAAAAAATCTCAAAATATAAAAATTCTGACAAATTTTGAAATCAAAATAGGCATAACTTTTTTTTGTCCAAAGTGACAACAGATCTCCTAGTCACAAACGTACCATGACAATCCCATAAACAATTCAGCGCAGTTACAATGGTTCTTTGAAAATTACAAAATGTTATTACTTTAAAATAGCTAATCACCATTGCTAAACAAGTAGAAAACTCTTCTTAAAAGCACTAAATGGATTCCAATTATTACAAAGTGAAATGTAAGTACCTGTTAAAAACTGTCCATTGTATACAATTCTTTCTGGACTCAGTGTGGGTGACTGGATATTGTAACCACTGATGGTGTTATAAAGCTCTTCATTTGGATCCCCTGGCAACTGATTGGCTGGGACAGGTGATAGCTGCTGATCGGGGCTGCAGTATGGACTTGGACCCTGGCTGCTTTCCATGGGAGATGCTCCCAGAGGGCTGGATGCCGAATGCCTCTGATACAGTGGTCTGCCTGACACTCGGACTTCAGCCTGCAAAAGGAAATAAGGTAAAATAAGCAATCAAGGAAGCCACTTTAATCAAAATAGTATGATGTATCTCAGCACACAGTATAAGAATTTCTGTCCTAGAATAGAGAATATTTGTTTACTCATATTAACAGACCCATTTAAAGTCTCAAATGCATGCAGGCAGGGTATGTTAAGGTCCTATTTAAAGGGAGCTTTACTCGGTGACTATACCCTGACCTGAGGCATTTAAAGAAAGCTCTGGTCTAAGGTTGCCATGAAACACTTTCAGAACATATGCATGCGTATTACATATGGTTGTTTTTAACACGTGCAAATTGCCACATTTCTGATTGGTCTTTTCAAGAGTCAGAATGCACCCAAAAGTTTGTCAGGAATCTGTAAATTGATGAAGTTATAATCAGATAGGCAATCAGGTTTCAACAGCAAGTAGTGCTGCTGTGAATGAACTGTTATAGAGAAGGTGCAAATCCTGCAATATTGGCAATATAGAATACAGAAAGTGGAAATGTGAAAATTGTATGTTATTTAGTGTCCTAAACTTGTAATTATAGCCATCCCAGGCTAGTAAAGTAAAGAACTTTATAACTTAATTTGTGAGTTAGCTACTTACTTGAAGTTTTTATTTTTTTTTCCCATCTGAAAGTGATAAAAAGTTAAGAATTGCTGAAAAAAGACACATTTTGTTGAAGTGTTTTATCTGCAGGAGAGGAGCCAGCTATTGATTATCAAGTGACCTCTGATTGGTAGAGATGTTGCTATGGAGAATACATTAATTAATGATAATTGACATTTAACTGTGAAACAGCAAAAATGTTTGTTTTACCCTTGAATTCATTTTCTTGCGAATTGTCCTGATGGGTGCAAGATGAAAAGCTCAGCAAAATGTGTCCTTTTCCAGCAATACTCAAGCTCCACACTACTAAATGGCTGTTTGATGAAAAAGGATCTTTAATCTCAAATAAAGTGCAGTTTTATAAAATACACCAAATTGGATAATAATAGTCCTTTCATTGTTTCTCTATTCCAATCAAAGATATTCTCTTTATCCTGGACAACATTCTTTCTCGTACCTTAATCAAAACTGACTTCTTTTTCTCCCCTTTCCTATCTTTCCTGAATATCTATGCCCTGGAAGTTTAAAAATCTGATCCTCCCGCTTTTTGAGCTAGGCATCAGGTATTGCCACTACATTATAATTCTATGTGACTATTTGGACCTGTTCCTCACCAGCCTTGTTAACTACACTTTTTGTATTTGCACACATGAACGCCGAACCAAATTTATATTTTTGCTATATTTTCTCATGATCCCACATAATTCTGTCTTATTTCAAACTCTAACCGTATCTCACAGGTCTTTGTGCACCTCATTTAAATAATAAATCCTGCATCCTGGTGCCCAACACCTTGTTGAATTAATTTAAACATTTCCTCACAGCACTAATCAACCTGCCCACAAGGATTCAGTTCTGGTTCTGTTCAAGTGTTCCCTTCTGTCACAGACTGGTCCCAATGCTCCCTCCCATTTATTCAAAGGTTGATAATCATGGCCATTTTAGAAGTCTTTACTAACTGGCTATATTTTTCCAATATTCAATAATTTCATCCTATATTCTAAATTCTAATCATTTATCACTAACAGATTAATTGAACTGATTTCTTAGCTTATCTTACTCTCCTTTCTTTCCAAGAGCAGAATCACAATCAACTCCATTTACAATCTTCAGGCACAATTTTAAATTTCACAGAAGTCTGGAAAACTCTAGTTGCATCATCCAATATTTGTTTCCTAAGTATATTCAGATGTATACCGTTAGTCTTGGTGATTTATCAAACTTGTGGGTGAGCAAGTTCTTTACTTCTCGAATAGCAAAAAAATTAATGTCAGTTTATCACTTAATTATACTGAGTAAATAATTATATTTGTAAATTCCTTGATGTTTCCGAGTTGAATTTAGTATTAATGCTTATATGTTATAATGAAGGGATAAAATGCCTGAATGCCTCAGATGAAGCCCATCGAGCTGATTGTCTCCTTTAAAGGTTAAGTGCTATATACCATGACCTTCTCAAAGAAAAGCTGGTGACGTTCTGCATTGCAGGAGAAAATCTTTTCTTTTAAATTCAAATAAAGGTCAGGCTTTTTAAAAGAAATGGTTTATTCTCTGTTGTCAAAACTTTCAAGACAATCCAGTTGAATTCTCATAAATACAACCTTATTATCAGAAAATAATTGCCAGTTCTTTTCCACACAAATCATTGCAAAGTCCAGTATTAGCATGCTGAAAGTCAATCTGTACGCAAGTTCTCCAACAAGCATTTACCAACCCAAGCAGACCTTTGCTATATTGATGTCTGACAAATAGCACTATCTGTTAAAATATGGGTTACTCCACAAATTATACATGATTGCTGTGTTGGCTTAACAATCATATTCAATCCCCAATGGAAAAAAACTCAGCAATAAAATGGAAAACTAGCACTCAATTATGTATTTCCGTTTACACTCACTAAAGATTCAATGTAGCATTAACATAGCTGAGGTCTCAACAGCTTCGGCTTATAGAATGAAAGAAAGACCAGGGAATGGTACATAGATACATGAGGAAACTAGGTAATAAACATACACAATTGTTTGAAAGTACAGATGTATCCTGACCTTAGTTCTTGCATTAATACACTTAAGTGTCTCTAACCTCTCTACTGGCTTTCAATGGTAATTTCGCTATCAAAAAATCTAACTCCTCAATGGGAGGAAGCAAAACTGGAGGCATCAAGTTATTTAACTGCTACCATTCAACTTTACTCTCAAAGAAGGGATCTGTAAACATTAAAAAACTTGTGAAACTGAACTTCCAGGGTTTCAGGTGGGAGAGGAGGATGCATCATTACTTTTACTCACAATATTGATCTGCCAAATCATCTGATTGCCTCAAACCTGGTGATCTTGATAGATTCATTGAAAACTATATTGTGCAAAGGCTATCAAAGGGTCAGAAACAAATTTTTTTTCTATTTGTTCATGGGATGTGGGCATCACTGGTTGCATTAACATAAATTGTGGTGAGCTGATCTCTTCAAACTGCTTCACTCCGTGGAGGTAAATCCACAATGCTGTTAGGGAGGGAGTTCCAGGATTCTGCGATAGTGAAGGGAAGGTGATATAGTTGCAAAATGGTCTGTGGCTTACAGAGGACATTTCTGTTGGTACAGCCTCAATGCATCTGCTGCTCTTGACCTTCCAGGTAACAGAGGTTGTGCGTTTGGAAGGTGCTGTCGAAGGAGCCTTGTTGAGTTCCTACAGTACATATTGCTAACATTATGTGTCAGTGGTGAAGGGAATGAATGTTGAAAGTAATGGATAGTATCAAGTGGCCTCAGTGTTTTTGGAAACTGTACCCATTCAGACGAGCGGAGGGTATTCCCTCACATTCCTGACTTGTGCCTTGTCAATGACAGAAATAGAATCCCTGCAGTGTGGAAACAGGCCATTCAACCCAACAAGTCCACACTGACTCACCAAAGAGCATCCCACCCAGACTCACCCCCCTACCCTATCCCTATAACCCTGTATTTTCCATGGCTAATCCACCTAAGCTGCACATCCCTGGTCACTATGGGCAATTTGGCACAGCTAATCCACCTAACCTGCATGTTTTTGGACTGTGGGAGGAAACCGGAGCACTCAGAAGAAACCCATGCAGACATGGGGAGAATGCGCAAAATCCACACAGTCACCCAAGGTGGGAATTGAACCTAGCTCCACGGTGCTGTGTGGCATCAGTGCTAACCACTCAGTCAGGAAGTGACTTACTTGCCTTGCAAAGCATGACTGAGACTTGTGTGCTACTGTCCAATCATCTCTGGTGAGTCCGCACTGCCAGAAGAAAGAAATACCCAGGGATTGTGTCTGGGGCAGGAGTGACTCAATGAGCATGATTGCATCAGGTTATTACTTGACTAGCCTGTAGGACAGCTACCCCAAATTTGGCTTAAGCCCTCAGACAATAATAAGGAAGACTTAGCCTGGTCAACAGATTGGGCTTGCTGTTATCATTTCCATTATTTAGATCAATGCCAGGTAATCTATCCTATTTCACAGGTTAAAAAGTATCTTTTGTTTGTTACAACCAGGGGGCTCTTGAGGCTATTTCAGAGCATTTAACAATGTCTGTCTTGCTGTAGGTCTCTTGCAGGCCAAATCAGGTAATGACCACAGATTTCCATCCTGAAAGGACATTAGAGCACCAGGTGGGTTCTCATGACAATTGACAATTGTTTTTTGGTCACCGTTACTAGACTGCCACCACCTGAATTGTTGCCATTACTTGGCGACGTTAACTTAAAAGCTTGAATTCATTTTCCAAGAACTTCTTGTGGCTACATATCTCTAGGTTCAAAGGCCATCTGTTTCACTTAAGGAGCATCCTCTGTATAGTTACCACTAATCCATCTTACATATGAGAACCTCAAATTAGATGAAAGAAATGATCTTTACACAAACTATATGGAACTCTGTACACTTTTGACCAGTATAATTCCATGCTGCCAATTCCTGGAAAAAAAATTTCAGCAAATACATTATTTCTGCTTTTCTAGATGTTTCTTTGCCAACTTTTCTGTCTGGTATTAGTCAGACCAGCTGGTCATAAAACTTACAATACAAAAGAAGCAAAAGGCCTGTTGTACTTGAATTGAAGCCATTTAAACTAATCTTGTTTACAGTTTTGGAGGTTGCTTACTTTATTTTTCATTCCCAATATTTATGGTTTCTATATTTCAGACTATGTATGCTTGATCCTCTGCATTCTCATGAACCGCCCACCCACTGCTCCCCCCAACACATTCCCCTCACCACACACACACACATACACACTCCAACCTCAACCCATCTTCATATCAGGGAAGTTCCCAGTCACATTCCATACAGTGAATAATAACATCAGTGTTTTGTATGCTTAAAATGCAGGACTAGGTAATAGTTATCTCTTTAGCTTCCTT